GAATTCTCACTAATAAGGATTTCAAAAAATGATTCATTTCTTAAACTTTTTCAGAGAAGGAAATTATAGCCAAATTATAGGTCTAACAAACCACAATTAAGCCATAAGAGGAATTATGGGGGATTGAGAGGTAAGGAAGGCCATGTTTCAACTTAAATATCAATTTTATTTATCATCATTAAGATTAGCTCTTTCCTGCTACAAATTCTTTTAGTTTCTTAAGTCACTATTTAATGAAAAGGGAAATGGAATATTAGAGCCTGCATATATAAATCAAATGGGATTAAACATGAAAAGAAATTCATATAAAATGTTAAAAAATCTTCATACAGAAACATGGATAATATTTTTACCTGGAAATTAGATGGGAGGCTTCAAGTCCAATAATCAGGGGAACAATATGTGCACACACTTCACAATTTGAGAGCATCAAGAGAGTTTCTGAAACTATCACTGCCTGAATGGTATTTATTTTACCATAGTTTTAAGATTTGGAGTAGAAAACAACACCGACTTTCCAACACCACACACCTACAACCATCTATCTGATCTTTGACAAACCTGACAAAAACAAGCAATGGGGAAAGGATTCCCTATTTAATAAATGGTGTTGGGAAAACTGGCTAGCAGTGTGCAGAAAGCAGAAACTGGGCCCCTTCCTGACACCTTACACTAAAATTAACTTCAGATGGATTAAAGACTTAAACATAAGACCTAACACCATAAAAACCCTAGAAGAAAACCTAGGCAAAACCATTCAGGACATAAGCACAGGCAAGGACTTCATGACTAAAACACCAAAAGCACTGGCAACAAAAGCCAAAATAGACAAATGGGGCCTAATCAAACTCCACAGCTTCTGCACAGCAAAAGAAAGAGTCATTAGAGTGAACTGGCACCAATGGAATGGGAAAAAAAACTTTTGCAATTTACCCATCTGACAAAAGGCTAATATCCAGAATCTACAAATAACTAAAACAGATTTACAAGACAAAAACAAACAAACTCATCCAAAAGTGGGTGAAGGATATGAACAGACACTTTTCAAAAAAAGACATTTATGAGGCCAACAAACATATGAAAAAATGCTCATCATCACTGGTCATTAGAGAAATGCAAATCAAAACCACATTGAGATACCATCTCACGCCAGTTAGAATGACGATCATTAAAAAAATCTGGAGACAACAGATGCTGGAGAGGATGTGGAGAAATAGGAACACTTTTACACTGGTGGTGGGAGTGTAAGTTAGTTCAACCATTGTGGAAGACAGTGTAGCGATTCCTCAGGGGCCTAGAAATAGAAATTCCATTTGACCCAGCAATCCCATTACTGGGTATATATCCAAAGGATTACAAATCATTCTATTACAAAGACACATGCACACGTATGTTCATAGTGGCACTGTTTGCAAAAGCAAAGACCTGGAACCAACCCAAATTACCATCGACAATAGACTGGACAAGGAAAATGTGGCAAGTATACACCATGGAATACTATGCAGCCATAAAAAACCATGAGTCTGTATCCTTTTTAGGGACATGAATGAATCTGGAAACTATCATTCTCAGCAAAATGATATAAGAACAGATAAACACCGCATGTTCTCACTCATAGGCGGATGTTGAACAATGAAAACACATGGACACAGGGAGGGGAGCATCACACACTGGGGTCTGTTGGGGGATGCCAAGGGAGGGACGGGATGGGTGGGGAGGTCAAGGAGGGATAACATGGGGAGAAATGCCAGATGTAGGTGACGGGGAATGGAGGCAGCAAACCACATTGCCATGTATGTACCTATGTAACAATCCTGCATGATCTGCACATGTACCCCAGAATCTGAAGTACAATTTAAAAAAAAAACACTGATTTTTAATTTCAGCATTATATAGTTTAAAAGGTCTAATATCTAGAGTATTTTGACAATGAAATGAATGACCTTAATGTTTAGCTGATGTTTAAGACCATATTTTGTCTTACTACTTTCAATTTTGTTGAATATTTTATTAAAATGTCAAGGAGTGCCATACTTTTTCTCAAATAATTCAGGCGTAACCACAAAATAACCTTTAAACTGAAGAGCATTTTTATTTTATATCATTGCATGTATTAAACAGATTGTATGAAACTGGACACATTAGGTGTGTACTAAATCAGGGCAAGGAGGGTTTGGATTTTTGCTTTAGAATTTTAATTACATTCATTTGCAATTCAGTAGAGGAAATAAACAGCATACTAGTAACATTCATCAATGAGAATAGGGTAAAAAGTGATTTCAATAGAGTCTGGCTGCATGAGCCTAATCAAATGAGGCCCAAAGTGTTAATACTCACTCCCATTCTCTCAGTCATAACAGTTCATTCATGAAAATCTTTATAATCATTTTATTAGCCACTCTTGTCAGAGATCTAGTAACTTTAAGAGTCTTTGACTGTGGAAAAAAATAGAAGAATAAAAATGCAAAGGGGCACTTGTGGTCTGACCGTATACCATGCAGTTAAGCACATCCCCCTTCTTCTGCTGGAGAATGTCCAAGAGCAACAAGAAGAAAGGGAAACAAAAATGCGAACTTCATCTTCAGCAGAAGTAGAAGACAGCTAACCCCCCGACAAAGCCCAAAATAGGTGTAAAGGCTGCCAAAAGCAGTGGAGACTGAGCAGGAGAGAGCAGGAGTCATGTGGGAGGAAGCCGAGAGAACATGCCACAGAGTGAATTCCATAGCAGCAGGCAGACGGCCAGATTCTGAGATATCAGAGAGAGAGAGGGAGTGCAAAATTCAGCTCTGCAAAGCGAGGGATCCAGTCTGTTGTTAAATCTAAAACTTCCTTTGCAACACAGGATTGGGGCACTTGTGCTGGCCCCAGAAGCAACCCTGGACCTGAGTTGATTTTGAGACAAACAAGAAGGGAATCTAAATAAAGAATCACACACACACACACCAGCATATATACAAGGAAGCACAGGGTTCAAGATAGTCTCTGTACTGTCTTGTATTTACCTACACCTAATTGGCTGAAGAGAAGCAGTAGCTACATAAACCAATGTGCAGAAGTCCTGCTAACCTGTAACGCAGCTCTGGCTCCTCCTTTACATCTGAAACTCCCACCGTAGTTGGTCCAGAAAAACACACCTTTTTCAATGATGAGTTCAAAAGGAAAAACAAGAATGGGATCTATACAGAGATACTACCAGGAAAAAAAAAAGGAAATAATAAAAAAAAGTAAACAACAAATAATACTCGCCTGGAGGCCACATAGCATAATCATTAACATAATAGAAACTGGAAGCAGACTACCCAGTTACAAATCTTTGGAGAAAGTTAATTAACCTCTCTGTGCCTCAGTTTCCTCAGTTTGTAAAATAGAATTCAAGGGAATATCTACTGTATGGGGTTGTTAAGATGATAATGAACTCACATTTGTAAAATATGAGTTTTTACAATATTTACAAGTATTGTAAAATATTTGTAAAATGCTTAGAATAATGCCAAGTACAAAGTTCTATATAAATGTTAACTTTAAAACATGTAAATTGTGACTAAACATTTATCTGTATTGTGAAAAAAATTTGTCTTTATTTTTTAAAATATTTTAGTAGTGAGGCATTATATGGTCTATGAACAAAATGCTATGCAGAAATACAATTAATGCAAATAATTGAAGGAATAAAAAATAAGCTATTGTTGCTCAGGAAAATTGTGGGGAAAAAATAATCTAAAAAATAAAGGCAACACTAAGGCCAGGTGCAGTGGTTCATGCCTATAATCCTAGCACTTTGGGAGGCCGAGGCGTGTGGATCACCTGAGGTCAGGAGTTCGCGACCAGCCTGGCCAACATGGTGAAACCCCATCTCTACTGAAAATAGAAAAATTAGCCAGGCATGGTGGCACGTGTCTGTAGTCCCAGCTACTCGGGAAGCTGAGGCACAAGAATCAATTGAATTCAGGAGGAAGATGTTGTGGTGAGCCGAAATTGTGCCACGGCATTCCAGCCTGGGTGACAGAGTGAGACTGTCTCAAATAAAAGGCAACACTAGACAGATCATAAGGGAGAATTGACACTGTCAAAAACAGGTACACAAAGTGTGTAAATGATGAAAGTGACAAAATAAAATTGAAATAAGAGAAAATTTCCAAAAGAATTGGAAATAAAATGACAACTACAGAAAACAGTCAAAAGAAATACAACATAGACTTTAGAGTTCTTTACTCAAACCATAAAACTAAAATAATACAACAGAAGAAATGTTTCAAAGTATAATTAATAAATATATGAAATATGATATCAAATCATTTGAACCCATTATTTGAAGACATGAATAATATATCAGGGGAATATTACTCACTGTTGTCAACAGTGAGATATATCCTCATTATTAAATTTTGAAGATAAAGCCTTCCATGTATAGCAGGCCAAAGGATTGAGATTCTTATAAGGGGGAAAAATAAGGCTAAATATACTTCCCTACAATATCATTCAGTACTGCAGGAGCAACCCCAGCAAAATATTTTGCCAAATAAAAGTACAACTCAAAGATTTTATGCCCAGCTAACTTGCTATTTGAACATAAAGTTAACAAACTACATTTCTCATCTAATAACTCAGGCAATAAGTAGAACCAAAAGACTAGAGAACCAAAGGGGAACTTTGGAAAAAGACTGGTGGTAGTAGTGAGAATTTTATGTCCCCATACAATGAAGACTAAAACAAATATAGACATTAGGGTGACGGAACAAACGTAAATTGTGTGTGTATGTGGGTGTGAATGTAGTTTGACTAATAAAAATATATATATGGAAGGAAAAAAACAGCAGAAAGCAAAGAATGCTGATTTCTCATCTATATAAATCAGAAATCAAAGAATATTATTTAGATTTAACAAACTAATAATATTGTAATCCTATTTAATGAACAAAGGGAAACACTAAGAAAATTTATGTAATTTACCAAAATTGTATGGTGGAGGAAAGAAAAGAAAGAGAAGGAAGATAATAAAGTGTGTGTGTGTGTGTTTGTGTCTCCAGACCTGAGCAGCAGACTTTTTTTCCTCTGGTAGCATGTTACTCAGAACCTTGGATAACCCCCAGCCCTCCTGAAAACGCAATACATGTAGGTTTGAAGAGATTGATGTTGNAGTCTCACACTGTCACCCAGGCTGGAGTGCAGTGACACAATCTCGGCTCACTGCAACCTCTGCCTCCTGGGTTCAAGCAATTATTCTGCCACAGCTTCCCAAGTAGCTGGGACTACAGGAGCACACCATCATACCCAGCTAATTTTTTTGTATTTTTGTAGACACAGGGTTTCACCATGTTGGCCAGGCTGGTCTTGAACTCCTGATCTCGTGATCTGCCCACTGTGTGCTCCCAAAGTGCTGTGATTACAGGCATGAGCCACCACGCCTGGCCCAAAGTATATGATTTTCATCATTATCTGTAGTAGGAAAGTAATAAATACTGTCCGTGGAAATTAAAGCCTAAGGGCATAATATAGAGTAATAATTACAAAGGTAACTACCACAAAATGTTTATATAAAAGAAAAAATTATATTCACCCCAAAAAGAAAAGAAAAAAACTCTCAAGTTTAAAGATTTTAAAAAGCAAATAAAATAGAAAATATGGCATAAAATTATGCCAAACTGAATTTAAGCCCATTTTTATTGCATTAAACTGACATTAAAAATTGTTTAAAGGCTTTCATGTTGAAGCATAAAACAAAACTGAAGAGATACACCAAAAACAGAAAGGTTTTCAGAAAATTTGAAAGCAAACAAAATACAAATGCTGAGTAAAGAAAGTAAGTTACGGAGGAATGCGTACAGCACAATCTCCTTTTTAAGAAATTCGAGGTAAGTAACATACTGTCTTGGGAACCTTTATGGGGTACCAAAGCCTTTGATCAAAAAGGCAGAAAGATGAGGGAATGGACTCTGAAGGAGCTTAGAGAACTCAAAAGAACCGGCTTATTCTGAATTTAGTGTAAAAAGATACCCTCATTCTGGAAGAAATTTTTTTTTTGTAGGAAAGTCTCTTTTCTAAATACAGACTAAGATCTAAGACTATGGTATACCTGAAACTCAGTAGTGCTTATTTAAGCAGAATGTGTGTGTGTGTGTGTGTGTGTGTGTGTGTGTTCTTATTAAGCTATTCCCCACAAGAGACTAGGTGCTAAGACCTAAAAGAGTGCGGCATAGGTACGGCGATGTACCTTCAATTCATGTTTAGGTCATAGATGCTGAGACTTGCACCTACTGAAAACCAACCTGAATTGGACAATTCATATCTCTTACAATATTATTCAAAACTGAATAAGCCAGATTTTAAAAATCATACTCATATTTTTCTCAGATATGTATTATGAACTGAAGTTTAGGTGACATTCCTGAGGATAAATTTAGTGCTATATTTGGCATATTAGGCCCTTGAGTAGCTAGCTGGAATACCAATTTTTAAGGTGAGCTAAAGCATCAATAAAACAAATAGAAAAAGGTTTAATCATGTTATGCAATTCCTTTAAGGATTGGTGAAGGAGATTTTCTTGATCCTGACAAAAAAGATGTCAACTTTGAGTGAAAAAGTATTTTAACTTTCTTGACTATAATGTTAAATATGTAAGAATATTTTATATTTAAACTATGTATTAATTTCCTCCTTTAAACTTAACAAGATATTTAGTCTTTTTATTAATAAAAACAAAATTGCCCCTATTAAATAAGTGTGGAATACTTAAAAATATCAGTTTGAAGCCTAGCCAAAATTTTCGTTTGTTGGGAGTCCAGCCAGAATTTTAGTTTGTTGGGAGTACTGCATGGCTGCATGGGATTTTGGTAGGGGTGAAGGTTTCCCTCTTAAAGAAATTAACCTGCCCTCTGTCAATCATCCTGGGAAGAGTGAATTCCTGAGGGGGAGGGTAGCCTCTAATAACAGGTGTTAGCTGAGAGTGAGAGAAAACTACCTCCCCTCTTCTCCCAACTTATAATGAGTTGGCTTCTCTGGTACAAGTGTCAATCTTGGAGAATGCTGACCTCTTCCACGTAACAGTGGGCCGAGAAGAATGCCCGAAAGAGGACCCCTATGGGGTCTGAGGACTGTGGATTCCAGCAGCAACCGAAGCTAGCATACAGTGTTAAGTTTTCTGTTTATCTCAGGTCTTTAGTGATTGTGTGTATATTATAACACTATCTCAGTTCTTCTTGCTACAGTGAATTATGAAGGAATCTCTGCCTAAGCTTGGGTAGTGTGGTCTGGGGAAGAAGAGAGAGCAGGAGGGAAACTGGGTCTCGAGATGTCAACAAGTTAACTTTCCTAAGAGGAACAGAGGTCCTGACCTATATGAAAGGGAATAGAGCCACAATTTGAACTCAGACAATATGACTGCAAAGCCCCTTCTCTAAATCTCTGTTCTTACTGCTTGTGAAATCGCCAAAGGTTGGATTCCTGAGTAAAATGGAATGTCAGATCCACTAAAGAGATCTGATCAGTAGAGCAAAGTGTGACATTACAGGCATGTGAGAGAAAAATAGAAGAAAAACCAAGTCTCAGAGAAATTAAGTAACTGGCCCAAACTTGCAAGAATTTGAAGCCAGGCCTGTTGGACTCCAAAGCCCATGCTCTTAATGATTTCTATAAATAATATCTTCACGCACCTCATTGTTATAAGGATCAGACAAGGGCAATTTAAAATGCACTTAAATATCTATACAATGTGATACAAATATGTGCTACTGTATTATACAGCTACAGCCTCCTGGGCTTCACTGTAGAGAGAAAGAAAAGATAGCTAAGTCAGAGTAGGTACAAATTGGTCAGAATGTAATTGAAATTTTTCTCTTCCTACCTTCTTGAGGACAGAAACAATTTCAGCCCTAAACCATTCCTCAAAGGTCAGCAAATTCATTTAAGGTCCTGTGTCTTTCCTGCTTTCCTGCCCCAAACTTCCTTGCCTTTCAAAATCATATTCACATGATGAAATGTTGAATGTCATTCAACATTCACTTCAAATGTCACTTCCCCCTGGAAAACTTTTCTTTCATTTTGATTTTTTAAACTTATTCTGACAAATAAAATTATATGCATTTATGATGTAAAACATGTTTTGGTAAACATACGCATTGTGAGTGACCAAATCAAGCTATATGACATATGTATTGCCTTGCAAACTTATTTTTGTGTGTGTGTAGTAAGAACACTGAAAATCTGCTCTCTTAGCGATTGTCAATTATACGATGTATTGTAATTGACTATAGCCACCATGACATATGCATTAGTGTGTTTTCACACTGCTATAAAAAACAATCCAAGACTGGGTAATTTATTAACAAAAGAGGTGTAATTGACTCACAGTTCCACATAACTGGGAAGGCCTCAGGAAACTTACAATCATGGCAGAAGATGAAGAGGAAGCAAGGACCTTCTTCAGATGGTGCAGGAGAGAGAATAACGAAGGAGCAGGGCCTTATAAAATGATCGGATCTGTGAGAGGACTCACTATTAACTAGAACAGCATGAGGGAAATAGCCCCCATAATCCAGTCACCTCCATTACTTGACACAGGGGGATTACAGGTCCCTCCCTTGACACATGGGGATTACAGTTTGAGTTGAGATTTGGGTGTGGACACAGAGCCAAACCATATCAACATATACTCAATCTCTTGAAATTATTCTGCCTAAATGAATTTTGTGTCTTTTGACCAACATCCACCCTCCTCCCAACCCCCAGTGTCTGGTAACTGCCTGTCTGTGTAAGTTCGACTTTTGTATATTACACATACAGCTGTAAGTGAGATGATGCAGAATTTGTCTTTGACCCCAGAGATTACAGTTGTGCTACCACTCTGCTGATTCATACCTCTAACCTCTACTGAGCTATACACTTCACTAAACTATACACTATGCACAGAGACCAAGTCTTCTTCTTCATTAAACAGCCAGGCCAAAACAATGCTTCAAAAACCTAGCAGACATTTAAGCATGGTTGAATAGACACATGGCTTTGTCTAAGCTATTTGAGCATATGTTCAGGCATACCTGGTTTTATTACACTTCACAGATATTTTTCTTTTTCCAAAGAGGATTGGTGGCAGTCTTGTATTAAGCAAGTCTATTGATGCCATTTTTTCCACATGTACATGCCTCAGTTTGTGTCTCTGCTTCACAGTTTGCACAATATTTCAAATGTTGTCATAATTTTTATATCATTATGGTGATCTGTGAGCAGTGATCTTTGGTGTTACTGTTGTAATGATTTTGGGATGTGATGACCCACACCCATATAAGATGGCAAGCTTAATTGATAAATGTGTACTCACTATTCCACCAACCAGTCATTTCACCATCTTTCTCCCTCTGCTCTGGCCTCCCTAATCCCTGAGACAACAACAATATTAAAATCAGGTCAGTTACCTGGAACCAACCCAAATGCCCATTGATGATAGACTGGACAGGGAAAATGTGGTACATATACACCATGGAATATTATGCAGCCATCAAAAACGATGAGTTTGTGTCCTTTGTAGGGACATGGATGAACCTGGAAACCATCATTCTCAGCAAACTGACACAAGAGCAGAAGTTCAAACACCGCATGTTCTCACTCATAGGCAGGTGTTGAACAATGAGAACACATGGACACAGGGAGGGGAGCACTACACACTGGGGTCAGTTGGGGGAAAATAGTGGAGGGACGGTGGGGGGTGGGAAGCTGGAGAAAGAGAGCAAGGGGAGAGATGCCAGATGTAGGTGATGGGGAGGAAGGCAGCAAATCACACTGCCACGTGTGTACCTATGCAACAACCTTACATGTTCTTCACATGTACCCCAAAACCTAAAATGCAATAAAATAAATAAATGGGAAAAAAAAAAGAAAAAATAAAATAAATAAAATCAGGTCAGTTAATAGCCCCTCAATGACCTCGAAGTGTTCAAGTGAAAGGAAGAGTTGCACATTTCTCGGTTTAAATCAAAAGCTAGAAATGATTAAGCTTAGTGAGAAAGGCATGTCAAAAGCTGAGCTACATTGAAAGCTAGGACTCCTGCACCAAACAGCCAAGTTGTGAAGGCAAAGAAAATGTTCTTCAGGGAAATTTAAAGTGCTACTCCAGCGAGCACATTAATGATAAGAGAATG